CGTGAGCCACCGCGACCGGCCCATTCCTCATCTTACCCAAAGAGGAACTCTTTCTTATTTATCAGCTGTGTGACTCTGGGCCAGTTTCTGAACATCTCTGTGCCTCCGTTTCCTCATTTGTAAAATGGGGATGGGGCCAGTTTCTGAACATCTCTGTGCCTCCGTTTCCTCATTTGTAAAATGGGAATAGGGTCTATCTCAGAGGGTGTTATGAGAAACACGAGTTAATACTTGTAAAGGGTTTAGGATAGTATCTGGAATTATAAGCGCTCAACTGTGTTCACTGTTATTTATTATTTGTGTTATCCGTGTCGATATTGTTAAGTTTTCTCTTACGTGGGGGCATGCACTTCCTGGTTTCCCTAAATTCTTAATCCAGCCTTCTGAAATAACTTCTTTACCTGCTTTGCCTCTGAAGCCGTTTGATTTTTCCACCCCTGGTTAAGCCCAACCCTCATACTTTATAGACAGGAAATCTGAGACCCAGATCAGAATGAGTGACTCGGCTAAACTCCCACAGCGAGTCAGGGACAAACCCATTTAGATTCCTGGCATTTACTCTCTAACCGTAGGGCACAGACAGCTCCTCACAGCCACAAGCCACACACCTTTCAAGTTGAAATCTTCCTCCTTAAATATTTCCACACTTGTTGCCAAGGAGTCGGAGACTGCTTCGCTTTAAAGCACTGTATCCCCTTGGTGAAATGCTGCAGATGGGCCACTAGCCACATTGGCTGGGAGACAATCTATGTGATAGGGATTTCCACCCACATGTACTTAATTTGGCTTATTGAGCTTAATGGCATATAATTTAAGGGGTGGGGAGTCAAGCTACAAGGAAAATCGAGGCTGCTCAATGGCATTCCCAGAAAGGGTCCAGAGAGACCTCTCCAGGAAGAGCCTGACTTAGGACTGAATCATTTCTGCTACAAAGTCACTGAATGTCTGTCGTAGATTAAAAGTCAGTCATGCACGGAGTGAGAAGGTCCTCCTTGCGGTCACGGGAAAACCAATAAGCTCACCTTGATTCAATCTTGAATAAGTGGCAGATGCATGAGCTGCCTTAAAATTACAGGGATCATGAAAAAAAAAAAAAAATCACTGTTCTGGGCATTCAGTTTATTTCAATAAGGGCATGTGGCTTTTGTTCAAAACTTCTTTGATAATGAACCCCATCATTTGTTTCTGCTGGATTGCTATCAAAAAGACTCAGTTGGGAGCTATTTCTTCTTGGTGAAAGAGAAAGAAGGACGGTCTTTGGGGGAGTAAACCATTAATAAACAAAGGTGGTGGTGTGCTTGCATGAAATTGTGTATTTCCCCCCTAAATTAGCTTACATAAAACCTCTCAACGATAGCAGTGTCAATGATGGGAACTAGAGGGCTTACCTGTGACCAAACATGCATGGAAATGTCCTCTGATCAACTCAGGCGTGATACATACATCAAACTGCCTTGCACAGTGGAAAATTTACAATATTATTGACCTTCAATACCCAAAGTAAGCCCCTTAAATTGACATTTGCCAAAGGCCCCAAATAATTTGACTTGAATTTCATGTAATACAAAAGCCACCGGGGGAGTGGAATGGAAAAAGTAGATTCTGGGTCAATTCTGCATTGACAGCATGAACTGGAAAATCTTAAGTACAATTGAGAATATCAGAGAATTTTTGTTCAATAGAGAAATAAGAACTGGCACTTCTAGTGCTGACACCCCTCTAGCCTCAGGGTACCTTTCAGAGGTGTGACCCAGCTATATTTGTGGTTTCTTGTCATATTTGACTTTCCAGATTCAGAGAGGCAAGTATGGAGATGGGAAGATATCATGGGTTTTGGATTAAGTCCTGTGTTTGATACCAGCCTCATCTCCTAGTTGCTAGGTGACAATGGGCACAGTAGTGAATCTCTTCGAGCCTCACAGAATTTGTCTGAGGTTTTGAGGGTTAGAAGAGATGGTGTACATGCCAGCCAGGAGCAGTGGCTCATGCCTGTAATCCTAGCACTTTGGGAGGCCGAGGCGGGCAAATCACGAGGTCAGGAGTTCGACACCAGCCTGGTCAACATAGTGAAACCCCGCCTCTACTAAAAATACAAAAAATTAGCCAGGCGTGGTGGCGGGCAGAGGTTGCAGTGAGCCAAGATCACACCATTGCACTCTTGCCCGGGTGACAGTGCGAGACTCCGTCTCAAAAAAAAAAAAAAAAGAAAAAAAAAGAGAGATGGTGTACATTAGGGACCTGGTATTTACTAGGTGCTCAATAAATTTTGGCCCCTTCCAGCAGTGTGCTAGCAAATGTTGAATAACTGGCTTTCAAAAAAAGACTCTGACTTAGCATTGGCTGATTTCCGTGGTGTAAATACTACCATCATGACCAATTTCAAGCTATTGACATGATGTCACAGCATTTGGAGTTGAGATGATAAGTAGATGGGTGAAACAGAGTCCCTGGGTTCAGAGTCACATAGCCTATTAGTGGCAGAGCTGGGACTGTGCTGTATGCCTCCTCACTCCCAGTCCAGATCACTTATCACATTTTGATGCTCTTGGAACTCGCCATGGGGCTGTCCTTCCTAGCAAAATGGTCACATAGAGTGATTTTTGGGTGATTGCAGAAATTAAGTCCTTCTAGCCAGGCTCTAATAGGTCAGCTTTGCTTTTGATTATACAGTTGATCCTTGACCAATGCAAGGGTTGAAAATCTAAGTTGAATCTATGCAGTTGAAAATCTAGGTATACATTTTTAATCCCCAAAATCTTTTTAAAAATTATTTATTTTGATCGGGCGTGGTGGCTCATGCCTGTAATCCCAGCACTTTGGGAGGCCAAGGAATTTATTGAGCACCTAGTAAATACCAGGTCCCTAATGTACACCATCTCTCTTTTTTTTTCTTTTTTTTTTTTTTTTGAGACGGAGTCTCGCACTGTCACCCGGGCAAGAGTGCAATGGTGTGATCTTGGCTCACTGCAACCTCTGCCCGCCACCACGCCTGGCTAATTTTTTGTATTTTTAGTAGAGGCGGGGTTTCACTAAAAAAAAAAAAAAGAAAATTATTTATTTTATCTGTATTTTTTAGAGACAGTCTTGCTCTATTGCCCAGGCTGGAGTGCAATAGTGTGATTATAGCTCACTGCAGTCTCAATCTCCTGCACTCAAGCAATTCTCCTGCCTCAGCCTCCTGATTAGCTGGGACTACAGGCACTTGCCTCTGTGCCTGGCTAATTTTTGTATCTTTTGTAGAGATGGGGTCTTGATTTGTTACCCAGGCTGGTCTCAAACTCCTGGGCTCAAGGGATCCTCCTGCCTCAGCCTCCCAAAGTGCTAGGATTACAGGCATGAGCCACTACGCCTGGCCTGATTCCCCAAAATCTTAATGACTGATAGCCTACTGTTGACTAGAAGCCTTACCAATAACATAAACAGTCAATTAGCATATATTTTGGATACTATTCATATTATATATTTGTATTCTTATGATAATGGAAGCTAGAGACAAGAAAATGTTATTAAAGAAATCATAAGGAAAATAAAATATATTTACTATTTATTAAATGGAAGTAGATCATCATAAAAGTCTTCCTCCTCGTTGTCTTCACGTTAAGTAGGCTGAGGGAGAGGAAGATGAGGAGGGGTTTTTCTTGCTGTCTCAGGGTGTCAGAGACAGAAGAAAATCCACCCATACATGGACCTGCACATTTCAAACCTGTGTTGTTCCGAGGTCAACAGTACATAGAAAGGGGTCACATGGAAGAACTCCTACATGCGTGTGCAGTGTTGACAATGAGATTGTCTCATTTTCTAGCCTTGTGCATACCCTTCCCCACCTGGATTACTTGTCATCATGGAATGAAGCTTCTTCATTCTAATGTCCTTCAGGCTCTAGACCCCCGAGGTTGGATAAACTTCTCTTGTTCTGTAACACAAAGTGTCCTGGGAAAGATGGATAAGCTATGTCCAGTGTTGTTGGCAAACAAACCGTGGGGACCTCACCTTGACGTTGATCCTACATGACCTTTCTGTTCCAGGGGCATTCAGATGATGTTATGGGAGATGTTTTGAAGATCAGTTGCAAAGTCTTAGGGAAAATACCATCCATAAAGAATCCTTTGCTTTATCAACTAACATATCAATAGATCTATCTATCTACTTATCCATCCATCCATCTATCTTATGTATCCATCCATCTAATCTATTATCTATCAATCATCTATCTAATCTATCAGTCATCCATCCATCCATCCGTCTTATGTATGTATGTATCTATCTAATCTATCAGCTAGCTATCTATCCATCCATCCATCTATCTCTATGTATCTATCGGTGTCTATCTTTATCTCACTTGCTAGCTAGCTATTATTCTTTTACATTTCTTCATTTAATCAATCAGGCATTCACTTGGCATGTTCTATGTCCTAGAGGAACTGTGTTCACAGGTTGTGGATTTGAAGAAGGATAGTCTTTAGGATACATGTTTACATAGAATATAAAAGTATGCTTAATAGTCGGAGAGAACCAGATTCAAATCCCAGCTCTGCTACCTACTTACTGAGTAACCTTGGATAAATTGCTACACTACACCCCACCCCCAGGCCTCTGTTTGCTTATATAGAAAGAAAGTTAGTCCCTACTTTGTGAGACTGCTGTAAAGGTTCAATGTCATGGTGAATAGAAAGTACTTGATGTAGGCCTGGCGTGGTGGCTCGCCCCTGTAATCCCAGCACTTTGGGAGGATGAGGCGGGTGGATCACCTGAGATCAGGAGTTCAAGACCAGCCTGGCCAACATGGTGAAACCCTGTCTCTACTAAAAATACAAAAAAATAGCTGCGCGTGGTGGCAGGCGCCTATAATCCCAGCTTCTCAGGAGGCTGAGGCAGGAGAATTACTTGAACCTGAAAGGCTGAGGTTTCAGTGAGCTAAGATTATGCCACTGCACTCCAGCCTGGGCAATAAAAGCGAAGCTCCATCTACAAAAAAAAAAAAAAAAAAGAAGGTACTGATGTAGAATCTGGTGCATAGTATGTTCACGATAAATCTCAGCTTTGCTTGCTTGCTTGCTTGCTTGATTGATTTTGTCTATGCTGCACTAAACTTAGTTTGGGGACGAAATATACAAATACAAATCATACATATATAGCCCTTGTTTTTAGGAGTATACTGTCTTTTGGGAACAACAGATGTGTTTGATAATTAGAAGTGTTTGATAATACCCACGGAGGTATTTATAAGCACTGTGGGTGTCTAGTGTGCTGGGCCTAAATCAGCCTGAAAATTAAGAGGTATTATCTGTGGATTTTCAAGTCCTTTATCCCATTTAACTCCCTAGAGAACCCTGAGAGGTTGGAAATATTTCCCCATGTCAACAGATGTGGCAACAGAAGGCCCAGAAAAATCAAGGCACAGTGGCCAGTGTTCTCTGCTGCCCCTGGAAGGTACCAGACCCCCTGAGGCATCCTTGCTAGTGTACTCCTCATGGGTGAGGCCTAAGCCGTGCCCACTGCAGAGTCCAGATACTTCCAGGAAGGTCTGATTATCAGTGAGGCAATCTCTGTGCAACCAGGAATCTCCGAGTCCAAATGACAGAGGAATAGAAATCTAGCAGGACAGGCTTGGCTCCAATCCCACATCTCAGGGCCAGACAGCAGAAGAGATTCTGAGTGGAGTGAGATGACCATCTCTGGTCTCTTACTTTGGCCCAGTCCATGGACATGTGTCTGGGGCCCTGGAGGAGCGAGGGCAACAAAGAAGAATGGGCAGTGGGCTCCATGCAGACCTCTGCAACACACTGGAGCCTAAGCCCACTGCTGCAGGACTCAGCAACTACAAGGAAGAGGGAGAAGGTGTATGCACCGCCCCCCCAGCTCTCCCATGATCTCCATGGAGACCCAAAGATAGAGACTGCAGCACCCAGCAAAGACATGGTACTTGGTAAGGACAGTGGTACCCACCTGTTCCAGAGGGAACATACTAATCGTATTTGTAAACCTGTCTGAGACAGCCCCTGAGATGGGCTTGAATACCCGGCTGTGGAGGAATTATAAGAGCTGAGGTCCTATGGAGCCAAGAGGCAGTCAAGTTGGTATTTATTTATGTATTAATGACTATTAATGGGGCACCTTTTATGCCCACAGACTGCTGAGGCCCGGATTAAGCTGGCACAAGAGTTTGATAAGAGAAGAGGACAACTAACCCTGTACTTTGAAAATCCAATTCACATTTCGTGAGTATGGCTATGTCCTAGGCAGTGGGGATATGAAGGAGAATAACATAATCACCGTCTATTGGAGACACCAATGAGAAAACCAGAATTGTAGTTCAACACAATAAAGGCTATGCTAGTAATACTTGTGATAATCCCTGAACCAACTGATATGGCCAATCATAGGCATGAGATCTCAGCTAGTCCAGTCAGAGTAAATCTCAGAGCTCTGCTGGGAAAAAAAGCTTGTTTTTTTCTTCTAGGTGTTGGAGTGTGGATATGAGTCATGGAACTCTGGGGCTATGTTGCTGCCAGGTAAGAAGCTGTTCTAGGAAGGACAAAATCAACGGACATAGAAAGGCAGGCTGGAGGAGAATGGAAAGGGAGCTGAGCCTTCCTGATAGAGTAAACCTGTGGATTAAACTATGCCTGAAGCCCACATTCCTGTTTGACTTTTCATTTATATAAGCTGTATTACTCAGGGTTCTCCAAAGAAACAGAAATAAGCAGAAATACATATATTTCTATATAGAGAGATATATAGAAAGAGATTTATTATGAGCGATTGGCTTACGTGACTATGGAGACTGAGATGTCCCATGCTTTGCTGTCTGCAAGCTGGAGGCCCAGGAAAGCTGGTGGTGTAGTTCCAATCCAAAATTGAAGGCCCCAAAACCAGGGGTGCCAATGGTGTAAGTCCCACTTTGAGTCCAAAGGCTTGAGAGCCAGAAAAACTGATGTTCGAGGGCAGAAGAAGACAGATGTCCCAGCTCAAGCAGAGAGAATATTCTCCCTTTCTCTGCCTTTTTGGTCTATTCAGGCCCTCAATGGATTGAGGGTGGATTGCTGAGGGTGGATCTTCTTTACTCAGTTGAGTGATTCAAATGCTAATCTCTTCCAGCAACACCCTCACAGACACACCAGAAATAATGTTTTACCAGCTATCTGTGTATCCCTTAGCCCAGTGAAACTGACACATACAATTAACTATCACATAAGCTAATATTCTTTCTTTATTGTTTAAGGCTGTTAGAAATGGGTTTGCCACAACTTGCAATTGACGGCATCTTACAACACAGTAAAGACAGAGTGCAAGATTCAGGTCCTTAAAGGCTATAAAATGCCTTGGGTACTCATTTAACAGATTACAACTCTTTCCTCAAAGTCATGGGGGACTTCTTGAAGCAAAGGGTGAGGTAAATGATCAGGTTCTTATATTTTAAATGTCTTGCTGGCTCCAACGTGGAACGTGGATTGAAGTAGGGCAATAGTGAACAAGAGGGGCAATATTTGACTCGGGAAGTTTAACAATTGCCCAAGTAATGAGTGTAATATGCTATCCTGGATGAAACCATGGGACAGAAAAAGAACATTAGGTAACAGCTAAAGAAATCTGAATAAAGTACAGACTGTAGTTAATAACCGTCTTAGTTCATTTTGTGTTGCTATAACACAATACCACAGATTGGGTAATTTATAAAGAAAAGAAATGTATTTGGCTCATGGTTCTGCAGGCTGGAAAGTCCAAGAGCATGGCACCGGTATCTGGCAAGGACCTTTGTGCTGTGTCATCCCATGGCAAAAGGTGGAAGAGTAAGCAAGCATGTGAGGAAAAGGAAATCAGGCCGAACTCATCCTTTTATCAGGAGTCCACTCCTGCAATAGCTAACCTACTTCCCCCATGACAGCATTAATCCATTCATGAAGACAAAGTCCTCATGATCAAATCACCTCTTAATTGTTCCACCTCTTAATACCATCACAATGGCAATTAAATTTTGACATGAGTTTTTTGGAGGTGACCTCCAAACCATAGCAGTAATGATGTATCAATATTAGTTCATTCATTGTGAATAATGTGTCATATCATATGAATGTAAGATGTTAACAATAGGGGAAACTGGGTGTGTGGTTTGTTGGAGCACTCTGCACTACCTTTGCAATTTTTCAGTAAATCTAAGACTATTCTAAAACAAAAAAGGTTATTTTAAATTACCTTTAAAAAGCAGGTAAAAATGTTTTGGTTTCAATGTGTTTATGCTTTCACGTCTATTCCTTTATTGATCTGCAAGTATTTATTGAGTACCTACTCTATGCCAGGCTCTGGGCTGAGTCCCGGGAATGAGCTAATATCTTGCTTAGGCTCAGGAAAACATTAATGATTTTATCTTCTATCTTGTTCACATGACTATGAGGTCCACAAGTCAATGGCCCAGAACTCTGGCTGGAGTCCCTGTCCCAGCCTTGCCAGTGACTGTTAACTATGACTTCACCTCTCTTGGCCTCTATTTCCTCCTATGTCATTTACAAAGACTTGTGCCTGCTTCGCCTACATCAGTCATAAATCATGAGGCTGAAAGGGGCACCAGAACATAAAATCAGGCCATGGCTTGAATGGACTTTAATGTCTATCCAGGCCAACCACTATTTGATGCACAGGGAAACTGAGGCCCAGAGAGGGCAAGTGAATGGCACAAGGTCACACAGATAAAATCAGAAATCAGACCTTCTCATGCTTTCCACTATAGAAGGCTGGAAGGGTCCTGGAAAGTTTAAAAGCTTATGCAGGTAAATGCAAAGACAAATTTCTGTTTTTAAGAGTTCCAAAATTGCTAATTCAGATACTTTGGGTTTGTATCTTTGGCAACTTCAGGTAGGTTTTGGCCATCAACTGAAATTTGAATCTAAAAGGCAATGGGTTCTCAGAATATGGGTTCTCAGTCTGCCTACCTCTCTTTCTGCGTACTTTTTTTTTTTTTTTTTTGAAATGGAGTCTCGCAGTGTTGCCAGGCAGGAGTGCAGTGGCACGATCTCAGCTCATTGCAACCTCTGCCTCCCGGCTTCAAGCGATTCTCCTGCCTCAGCCTCCTGAGTAGCTGGGACTATAGGCATGGGCCACCATGCCCAGCTAATTTTTGTATTTTTAGTAGAGACAGGGTTTCACCATGTTGGCCAGGATTGTCTGTATATCCTGACCGCGTGATCCACCCGCCTCAGCCTCCCAAAGTGCTGGGATTACAGGCATGAGCCACTGCGCCCAGCCCTGCATATCTTTTCATTCGTTCACTCATTTATATTTAACTTCATGTTTTGAGCCTAGTTTCGCCCTACTCTGTATGATTTGACCAAGTTGGTAATTTCTTCTTGTCGAGAAAGAGCAATATTGTCAGTAGCATCTCTCCCTCCCTGTCTCACCATGCTCCCATTTCTGGGAATCCTAAGAGTCTTCAATAGTAGGGCTGGGGGAAGAGGGATGACAACAGGTAGCCAAAGGACCGTCATTGCCTGGCTCAAGGATCCCCAAGGCTGGCCTGTGGCCACTTGGCAGCACAGGTTAGTGATTATGTCCAGAGAGCTTAGATGCAAACTCTGTGGCACAAATTCCAGCATTTCCAGGCAACAAAACATCAGGCAAGTTATTCATTCACCCTGTGCTTCTGTTTCCTCATCTGTAAAACAGGGACCACCCTTACCTCATGGTAGCACTGAGAGAATTAAATGAGATAATACATGAAACGTGCTTAGCACAGGTTGTGACATATTGTAAGAGTTTAAAATTACTGGTTCAGATCCCTAAGCTTATCCAATCCACATGTTTCACACTCATGAAAACTGAGGCCCAGAGAGGTGGCAAGACATCCTGGGAGGTAGTGACCTGCTGCCACTGGAGTCCTTGAATATTCACAGATCTTGACAGGCCCTAAGAAGGTCTTTGTGGTGGTTTCACTGGGGTGGAAGGATCCTGCTCTCCAATCCTCACCTTCCCATCCCATTTCTGTTAGTCTTCAATTCTGGCCCCTTAATATTGCATCCATCCCTACTAGATCTGCATCTCTGGTGCCCTCCCGACATTTCCCTTGTTTCTTTCCCACCACACCACAGAGAATAATTAAAGGCCCTTAACTAGGAGGGATGAAGCTTATGGGGAGGAGGAGGGTGGAGAATCAGAGGCACAAGACTCTTTGACCATTATGCAGTGAGTGGTATAAAAGAGAAAGTGGAATCGACTTCTGCATATAAACCCAAAAGAATTGAAAGCAGGGTCTCAAAGAGGTATTTGTACACCCATATTGATAGCAGCCTTATTCACAATAGCTAAATGGGGAAACAGCCCAAGGGTCCATCCAATGATGCATGGATAAACAAAATGCCATCTATCCACACAGCGGAATACTCTTCAGCCTTAAAACAGAAGGAAATTATGACACATGCTTCAACATGGATGAACCTTGACAATATTATGCTAAATGAAATCAGCCAGTCACAAAAAGACAAATACTGTGTGATTCTATTTCAATGAAGTGCCCAGAACAGGCAAATTCATAGATAGGAAATAGAATGGTAGTTGCCAAGAGCTATGGGGAAAGGGGAGAAGGGAGTTATTGTTTACTTCGTACAGAGTTTCAGTTTTGTAAGATGAAGACTTCTGGAGACGGATGGTGGTTATGGTTACACAATAACATGAGTAAACGAATGCCACTGAATTGTACACTGAAAAATGGTTGAGGTGCTACATTTTACATTATGTGGTTTTTTTTAACAGTTAAAAAGGAAGGTGGGAGAGCTCTAAAACGAGAAGGTAACAGTTTGATTAACTCTTACCAGTTGGATTAACTGTTACCAGTTTGATTAACTGATTAGTGGCATGAATGTACAACTTCTGTTTTGAACGTGGCTCAGATCTCCTGTGTTCCTATCCCAGCTCTATCACTTTCTTGCTGAGTGACCTTGAGCAAGTTGCTTGACCCCTCTGAGACTCTTTCCTCGCTCATAAAATACAGATAATAATAGTACTTATGTCACAGGGTCGTTGTGAAAATGAAATGACATCATCCACGAAGAGTGCTTAGCACAGAACCTGGATATTTACTTTTCAGTTAGCAAATATTTATTAAGCTTCTACTACGTGCCAGTAAGTGCCAAAGATGCAACAGTGAACAAAACAGACAAAAGTTTCTGCCCGTATGGAGTTTATATGTCCATGTGCATTAGCCTGCATTTCCCAGAAAGCAGAACATGAGGCAAAAGCTTATGTGTTGCTCTTTTACAAGGAGGGGTGCAGTCCCAGGGAAATATGAGCGAAGGAAAAGAGGAATGAGACAGGGAAGAAAGGAGAGACAACACAAGTATGCAATCCTGTCTGGACATCTCTTGGTATCAAGAGCTACTGGTTGCCCCTCTCATGGGACCATCTTTGGTGGGGCTACATGAATTACTGTGTTTAAAGATCATTAAACTGGGAGCAGGAAGGGGAAGGAACAGATGCATCAACTTCCAGTCTAGATTTGTCAAAGGTTTGCTGCAAAGGGCAATCATTAAAAACTTAAGTTGCTTATGAATGGTTGCTGAGTCAGCTCTGCTGCTCTTAAGTCTCAGCATCAACATGAAGGTGAGCAAGGGCTGCAGAGCTTTCCCTGTGTAGAGGTGGTCGGAGCCCAT